GCCTTGTTTTAAATTGTGTATTCACTTAGTCTAGATTATGACAAGTGTAAGGCTGAGATTGTATTGTTGATTGTGTGTGTACAGCTAAAGCTAACGGTTGTGTACTCATGCCTTTGTGCGTGAATTTGATACTGAATATACACTCACTCTCAGACTTTGAGAGTAACAGAGCATTACACATATAGCTTGAATCTTCCTCTATTCTCTCTGTGTTTTCCTCTCTACTCAAACCTTCCATAGAAACCCAGCTAAGAATTCAAACACTAACATGGTATCAGAGCCTAGTTCGATCTGAGATCTGGGCGTAGACTGTGCGACGTTGCTGCAATCGAGCTGCACTCAAGCTCGTTCTAGTTCAGGTGAAATCGCTGAACCCCATCGTTTTTTATTTTGAGATTTGTATCATCTAAGCCTAGAGATGGCTGGATCTGGAGGTTCTGAGGTGAGAACTCCGATCTTCTCCGGTGAGAACTACGAGTTCTGGAGAATCAAGATGGTGACAATCTTTAAATCTCATGGGTTATGGAAATTAGTTGAAAAGGGGGTTACGATCTCTGATTCAAAGAAGATGATGGCTGAAGGAAGCGAAAAAGAGGAAGACGATGAGAAAACTGTGGCAGAACACATGCGAGATGCGAAAGCTCTGGGTATTATCCAGAATGCAGTCTCGGATCAAATATTCCCTCGAATTGCCAATGCTGATACAGCAAAGATGGCATGGGATCTGCTATATGGTGAATATCACGGTGGTGATCAGGTACGATCAGTTAAACTCCAAAATCTTCGACGTGAATTTGAGTATACTAGGATGCGTGATGATGAAACGTTATCTGAGTATCTTACACGGTTGAATGAACTAATTAATCAAATGAAGACGTTTGGTGAGGTATTGCCTAATGAAAGGCTTGTGCAAAAGGTTTTAATAAGTCTTAGCAAACCTTATGATCCCATCTGTCTTGTGATTGAGAATACGAAGTGTATAGACAAGGTTGAATTACAGGAGGTTCTGGCAATTCTTAAGAGCCAGGAACAACGATTTGATATGCACACTGTTGATGCCACTGATAAGGCTTTTGGCTCTTTTTCTGTGAGTCCAAAAGGTCAGCAACATAAGGGTAATTCTCAGTCAAGTGGATCTAAGAAAAACTGGAATGGAAAGGGCAAGAAGTGGGATTCAAAGCCTCAGTCCCAGCAAAACTCATTTGCTAATCCTGCACGGAATTCAACCTCTGCAGGATTCATGAAACAAGATACAGTTAAGCCACAATGCAGGGTGTGCTCTAAGTTTCATTTTGGAGAATGTCGATACAAGGGGCAATCCAAATGTCACAACTGTGATAAGTTTGGACATTGGGCTAGAGAATGCACAGCAGGCAAGGTTGTTCAGAAGGCAAACTGTGCTAATCAGGCAGAAGTGACAGGAAATCTGTTCTATGCTAACAGTGCAATTACTGAGGTCAAAGTGAATGGGAATTGGTACATTGATAGTGGTTGTAGCAACCACATGACTGGAAATGCTGAGCTTCTTGTGGATGTAAGGACAAATGTCACTGGAAAAGTCCAAATGCCCACTGGAAATCTGGTAGATGTTGCTGGAATAGGTTCACTTATGATTGATACAAATTCTGGCAGAAAGTGCATCAAGGAAGTCATGTTTCTACCTGGTTTGAAGGAAAATCTGTTGAGTGTGGGACAAATGGATGAACATGGATATTATTTGCTATTTGGTGGAAGAGAGTGTTGTATCTTTGATGGTCCTTCACTTGATTGTCTAGTTATCAAGGTTAAGATGAAAAGTAACAGATGCTACCCTCTGTCTCTAATGCAAGCTGATCAAATTGCATTGAAGGCTAGTGTGATTGAATGTACCTGGATTTGGCACAAGAGACTAGGACACCTAAATCTTAGAAGCCTCAAGCAGCTTAGAGAAAAGGAAATGGTGCATGGTCTTCCACATCTTGAAGATGTAAATGGTGTATGTGCAGGATGTCAAATGGGAAAACAACACAGAGATTGGTTTCCAAAAGAACAAGCTTGGAGAGCTAAGAATCCCCTAGAATTGATACACACAGATTTGTGTGGTCCCATGCAAAATGAATCAATTGCTGGGAATAAATATTTCATGTTGCTTATTGATGATCACACAAGAATGTCATGGGTTTATTTGCTAAGACACAAGTCTGAGGCACTAATCTGTTTCAGAAAGTTCAAGGCAATGGTGGAGTTACAATGTGGATTCAAAGTGAAATGCCTAAGGAGTGACAGAGGGGGAGAATTTCTCTCAACTGAATTCAGCAAGTTGTTGGAATCTGAAGGCATACAAAGACAGTTATCCGTTGCTTATACTCCACAGCAAAATGGAGTAGTGGAGCGAAAGAATAGAACAGTTGTAGAGATGGCGAAGGCAATGCTTCACGATAAAGGCATGCCATACTTTCTCTGGGCAGAAGCTGTACATACAGCTGTCTATATTCTAAACAGATCACCTACAAAAGCCCTTGATAACATGACTCCTTTTGAAGCCTATAGTGGAAGAAAACCAGGAATTGGTCACTTAAAGGTGTTTGGATCACTCTGTTATGTGCATGTACCAGCTGAAAGAAGACAAAAGCTTGATGCAAAGTCTGTCCAAGGTGTGTTTGTGGGTTATGCAACCCGTGAGAAAGGGTACAGAGTATTTGATCCAAGCACTAAGAAGCTGATTCTGTCAAGGGATGTAGTTTTTGATGAAACCAAGTCTTGGAACTGGAAGGAAACTTCAGAAAATTCTGTTGCTATGACCTATGTTCCAAAGCAACCTGAAAATGGAATTGAAGTGATTCCACATAAGTTGACTGAAGTCGAGAGAAGTCCTTCTAGTCCTTGCATTTTCTCTCAAGCTGAAGAACAAGAGAATGCCATTCCTGAGCATGCTGATATCTCTCAGTCCTATGATCATACTCCATTAAAGTGGAGAAACATAAATGACATTCTAGCACAATGCAATCTCTGTATTGTGGAACCTGAAAAATATGAAGAGGCTGCACAGGATAAGGCTTGGATAAAAGCAATGGAAGAAGAGCTGTCCATGATTGAAAAAAATAAGACTTGGGAGCTTGTAGACAGACCAAGTGATAAGCAGGTTATTGGTGTGAAATGGGTGTTCAAAACCAAGTTGAACTTAGATGGCTCTGTACAGAAGAACAAGGCAAGGCTGGTTGCTAAAGGGTATGTGCAGAAACCAGGCATTGATTATAATGAAACATTTGCTCCAGTTGCTAGACTGGATACAATCAGAACACTGATTGCTCTTGCTGCACAAAGAAGCTGGAAGCTATTTCAATTAGATGTTAAGTCTGCTTTCTTAAATGGAATATTGCAGGAAGAAGTGTATGTTGATCAACCTGAAGGGTTTGTGATTAATGGCAAGGAAGATAAGGTTTACAAACTATACAAGGCGCTTTATGGCTTGAAACAGGCACCTAGGGCCTGGTATGGAGAGATTGATAGCTATTTTGCTAAGTGTGGGTTTGAGAAAAGCTTAAGTGAAGCAACTCTCTACACTAAAACAAGGGGAGAACATGATATACTAATTGTCTCCATCTATGTGGATGACATTGTGTATACTGGAAACAATCAAGAGATGCTAGATGAGTTCAAAGAAGATATGAAGGAGAAGTATGAGATGTCAGACTTGGGTCTTCTTCATCATTTTCTGGGAATGGGGGTGATTCAAACAGAATCTAGCATTTTCATTCATCAAAAGAAGTATGCTTCTGCTTTGTTAGATAAGTTTGGATTGAAAGAATGCAAATCTGTTTCTATTCCTCTTGTGGCTACTGAAAAATTAAGTAAAGAAGATGGAAGTGGTGCTGCAGATGAAGAGAAGTACAGAAAACTTGTAGGCAGCTTATTGTATCTTACTGCTACAAGGCCAGATGTGATGTATGCAGCTAGCCTATTAGCTAGATATATGCATGGACCTTCTAACAAGCACTATGGGGTAGCTAAGAGAGTGCTCAGATATGTCAAAGGAACATTGGACTATGGTTTGCATTATATGAAAGGCAAGAAGGCAGTTTTAGTTGGCTTTTGTGATAGTGACTGGGGGGGATCAGTAGATGACAGCAAGAGTACCTCAGGCTATGCGTTTTCCTTTGGTAGTGGAGTGTTCTCATGGGCTTCTGTGAAACAGAATTGTGTTGCACTTTCCACTGCAGAGGCTGAGTATATAAGTGCTGCTGAAGCAACAACTCAAGCAATATGGCTCAGGTTTGTTCTTGAAGATTTTGGAGAGTTACAAGCTGAAGCAACTCCTTTGCAGTGTGACAATACATCTGCAATCTCAATATCTAAAAATCCAGTGTTTCACCAAAGGACTAAACACATTGACAGAAGATATCACTTCATAAAGGATGCCTTGCAGCAAGGAATTGTTGATTTGGTATACTGCCCAACCAAAGAACAAGTAGCAGACATTTTTACAAAGGCCTTACCAAAAGATAGATTCAACTATCTCAGAGATAAGCTTGGAGTTGTATCAGCTCAAAGCTTAAAGGGGAGTATTAGTGTATAAGCTGTGAGCTAAGTAAAGTTAGAGTAAATAAGCCTTGTTTTAAATTGTGTATTCACTTAGTCTAGATTATGACAAGTGTAAGGCTGAGATTGTATTGTTGATTGTGTGTGTACAGCTAAAGCTAACGGTTGTGTACTCATGCCTTTGTGCGTGAATTTGATACTGAATATACACTCACTCTCAGACTTTGAGAGTAACAGAGCATTACACATATAGCTTGAATCTTCCTCTATTCTCTCTGTGTTTTCCTCTCTACTCAAACCTTCCATAGAAACCCAGCTAAGAATTCAAACACTAACAAATTTTCCCTATCTTAGGAGCACTTTTACTTGCTTTCCTGGCATTTGCTTTGTTTTGAAGAAGAAGAAGAAAGAAAGAGATGGAAATAGGACAGAGCAATATGTACCAAAGCTTTTTCTCAATATCTAATTTTGATGGAAGAAAAATGTATGGAGAAATCATGAAAGCAACCAATGTTTTTGATGATGTCTATTGCGTCGGGAAGGGAGGACAGGGAAGTGTCTACAAGGCAAAGCTGCCATCAGGCAGCACTGTTGCTGTGAAGAAATTCCATCAGACACTTGATGGTGACGAGGCATCTCAGAATAAGGAATTCCTTAATGAAATAAGGGCATTAACTCAGATACGACTCCGAAACATTGTGAGGTTTCTTGGTTTTTGTTCAAGTTCCCGTCACTCGTTTTTGGTCTATGAGTATCTGGAAGAAGGTAGCTTGGCTGCAATCTTGAGCAACGAGCATGAAGCTGAAAAGTTGGACTGGAGCACAAGGGTGAGACTTGTAAAAGGGGTTGTTAATGCCTTGTGTTATATGCATCATGATTGCTCACCGCCTATTGTGCATCGAGACATAACAAGCAGCAACATTTTGCTGCATTGTGACTGTGAGCCTTATGTTTCAGACTTCGGCACTGCTAAGTTTCTGAATCCAGACTCGTCGAATTGGACTTCTCTTGCGGGCACATATGGATATGTAGCACCAGGTTAAATACTTAAATATAGTATTTTTTTTAAATTTAATTCATATTAACTATAGATGTATATATTTATGGTTTGCTCTTTCTTAATTTGTATGCAGAGCTGGCTTACACAATGAAGGTAACTGAGAAATGTGATGTTTATAGCTTTGGAGTGCTGGCGCTGGAAGTGATTATGGGAAAGCAGCTAGCCAATTTCGTCTCGTCCTTTACATGTCCATCCACTAGTACCTATCCAAACATATATTGCTTAAGGATGTACTGGACAAACTCCTTCCCCCTCCTAAACCTCATGTTCTTGATGAACTCAGAACCATTGCGAGGCTATCGATTGCATGCAGACATTCCCATCCACAATCGAGGCCAACAAT